TTTTTTTTTTCCTTCTCTTGCAGCTGGACAAAGAAACAACGAGGGCAACCCGATTACCGACTACAACGACAGCTTATCAACCCCGTTGCGATCCGGGTCGGGTCATTTCGACCCGACAAAAGCAGCCGATCCGGGACTGGTCTACGACGCTTCGTACAAGGATTATCTTTTGTACCTATGCAGCACCGGATACACTAACCTCACGCATTCCTTCAAATGCCCCGCAAATCCACCGCCTCCCAACAACCTCAACTACCCGTCCCTAGCCGTGCCCGATCTCAAAGGCACCGTCACAGTCGTTAGGACAGTCACCAATGTCGGCGGCTGTGGGGCCGTCTACTTCGCCAGCATCCAGCCTCCGCCAGGTGTCGACGTGAATATATCGCCTTCCGTGCTCCGATTTACGCAGGTGAACGAGAAGAAAAAATTCACCATCACCGTAAAAGCAAACGACAATGCGGAGAAACGAAAGTACGTGTTCGGATCGTACAAGTTGTCCGACGGCAAACATAATGTGTTTAGCCCCATTGCAGTTTTTGTGGCCTAAGTTTGTGTTTCCATTAAATCATAATCATCACGGAGTTGGTTTTTTACAGTTGTTTTGAATAACTCATAATAAAAGTTGGAGCTTGTTATTTAGATTAATAAATAAAAAGAAAATTAAGAAAAAAAAAAAGNGAGTTGTTACTATAGTATATGCATGAATTTGATTTCGAATTTGCCTGTGCATGATTTCAATTTGAATTTCAATTAATAAATCATGCTTGTGCCTTCAACAACATTTAGAAATCTGAAAGGGACATTGCTAACCAAGCCTAAAGGGAGTACATGGAGTATGAAGATCCCAGTCTAAATGCCTCTTAACCCTGTTATCTGTGTTTTTTTTGGTGGTTTGAAGGACTGCTGATTGCGGTTACTAAGCTAGGAGCTCCTGAGCTCAGTGGCAGAGCAATCACCTACTATTCATGGCTGCAGATACCTTCTTTTGCTTTGTTTGTTAGTTCCTGTTGCTTTTCGCTTTTTCGGGTTGTATAGTTTCTTGTTTTTCTTTGTTATTTCCTCCTGCTACTCTTTTTTTTCTTAGGTTGTTTATTCTGTGGGGATGTCCCCGGTTTTTCTTAGCTACTCTTGGGTTAGTTAAGATTTGTGCCGCCTGTATGTTCTATCTGTACTTCATGGTTTGAGTGAAATATATATTCTTCCTGTTTNAATCATGCTTGTGCATGATTTGGATGTTTCAATTTGTATGAACCAATTATAAATTTAGTGTGATAAAAAATAGTAATTTATATCCAAGCCTAACTCCAAAGCATGGTTTTTTGCCAAATAGAATTTCGAAGCATAAGAATTTGCCACGTATGCTCCGTGCATTCTGAAATTATATATAGAGGATATAAGAAGTAAGAAGTTTTGTATTAAATGTAAATAATATTTTAAATCATAAGAGGATGTCCTTTTATCCCAATGGACGGAAACATTAGGCCCACGAGAGGTCTAAAAATAGAACTTAATTTTGTTATTTTACCCACGAGAGGCCCGATTATTGAATAGAATTTTATCGAGAATATAATTATATTATCCACCTAATAATTATATATATATAATCTCATAATCAAAGAAAATCAGAAAAATCTAATATTCGAACGGGGCGCTACAATGGCGCCTAAGAAACATGATGGATCCGTGTATTAGTTCTAGCATCACCTGCATATATTCCCAAATGTTAAAGTTGTGTGGAGAGATACATTCATTTGTAGGAGTTCATTTATGTCGAATTCAGAGTATTGAGGAATCTTGAATTGTTTTGTTTTTTGTTTTCTTTAATCTAATAGTGGAAATGTAATTATTTTCCTGCTCCTCGGAAGAATAGAGTGCCACTTGAGAACATGCTTTTATCGTTTAAGTTATGTTATGGTCGGTTAATGGAGCAGAGCAACTCTTAGAATTGAATGCTTAAATTACTGGCTTCTATATTTCCATAGTTGTCTTTTTTAGTGACCATAAAAAGTGAAAGTGAAATTTTATTATCTGTTGTGTTGTCAATAACCTTAATAGTTTAAGGTCACAAATTACCAAATGTGATAATAATTTTCAATATAAATATTATCATCGACAAAATGCACAAAAGTTCCAATAATGTTTCATATTTATCGATGACGAAACCGAACATTCATTACATCTAACTAATGAACACAAAAACTTATACCACCCCAAGTTTCCCTAACTTAAAATATAAAATAGTCATCATAAAAAATCTTGTAATTGAACACAAAGAAAAATCTGTCTTTTTTTCTTTTTACGCAACGGCCAATTCATTATATATCAAAAAAATAGATTGTACAAGCTAACACCACAAAATCAATCCACACTGTAAATCCAGAGCACACCAGGGGATACCACAAAAAACAAAAAGCAAGACCAAACAAATAGTCCAATAAAAGCAAAAGCATCTGAACTAATCTACTTCATATACAAAATACCTGCTAACAAAAACTACAGAAAAAAAACCATGAGAGAAAACAGATACAATCAAAACCAAGACTCCCAGAAAATGAAGAAAAATCTCGTCCACGGCATCAAATTTATGTTTCTCCCATGTAATTTTCAGAATTTCCTTTGCTTTTTCAACATGACAATCTGCAATAGTTAAAGTTGAAGATATGGTCAGTAACATACTGCATAATTCAACTAACAGGTTCCATGACTCATAACTAGAGAATAACTCCAAACCAGTATTTCATCTATATCTTCAAGGAGAAGAATAAACAATATTTTACATAAAAGAGGCAAATCATGTATCCTTTCAGAAA